GACGCCGGCCGGAGGAGTCATTTCGCGCGAGGAGTCCTCCAGCCACGAGGCCTCCTCCTCCGAGGTAACCCCGCCCTCATCCTCCCTCCGACACGCGCTCTCTAATATACCTGTGTTCTCGTCATTTCTTTTAATACATTGCAATTCATGTTTGTTCTAATAGAATTGCAGGTTCTTACTTAATGAATTACTCTTTTCATTACTTACTAATAATGTCCCATGATTAGTATTTAAAGCACTTAATGGTTAATAAATAATTGAAATTTGTTGTTATTATTAACTTAAATTCAATTGCAGATTGTGATACTAATATTCTTTTTTTTAATAAGAAATATTATGGAATACTAAACACTTCATGATTGGCTTACGTAGTTAGATAGTACCACAATGTACAATAATCTGCGTATTTGTGTTCCTAGTTTTTTTTAATTAAACGATTCAAACTACTGACCTTCCAATATCACTTTACTAAAAGGAATGGTTCAAAGAGGCCAAAATATCAAGAAATAACTAGGGATTAATTACTTCATAATTTGTTGTAATTAAGATTTTTTCGTAGGGTTTTCTGTTTTTTGAACTGTTTGTACTTACATGAAATTTTTCTCTATGTTCACAAATGTTAATTTTTCTGCACTGCATTCAAATGTTTATCTGAAAATTAATTATTTTATGAAAACAATGTTTATTCCCCAGATAATAAATTACAAATTAGTACACAAAATTGGTCGTAACAAAATATTTTGCATTTAAAACAGTGTTTCATTGTAAAACAGACTTATTGGCAAACGCGTGAAACGGAAGTAAATATTTTTCTTGATTCAGATTACAACATCTTGTTAGAAATAGCAAAACTCTACAATTTATTTACTGACTAATAAAAATAAGAACTTTTTTTTTGCACTTTACTTCAACTTTTTCCCACAAGTATTTCATGTCAACATGTTGGCTTTCATGTCGTAAGAAATGTTGCGAACGTTTCAATATACAGCAAAGTTAGATGTTATATTCATATTTGACCCCTGACGCTCACTCGACATAGCGCCGATAAAATCTTCAGATACCCTGAGACCCCATCAGAACCACATCCTTGCCAGACCCCTGTCCAACTATTACTGATGATTTCGCGAGTGATACTCCGTTGTAATGACGCTTCAACGTCACAAGAGCTGGAAGGAGTAGGGGACACTGTTATCCAATCGGCAGCCTCAATACCAACAATTTAAGTCGTAACGAAGGTTCCGATTGAATGTCCCCCGCTGCTTCCATCTCTTGCGGCCTTGAGGCGACGGAGTGTAAGTGTCCCCGCCGGCTGCCGCAGGTGACGAAGGAGGTGGCGGGGCGGCTGGTGCACGAGAAGAGCAGCTCGGAGGTGCAGAGCGAGAGCTCGCACGAGGTGCGCGCCAGCCAAAACACGCGCGTCGACGCCAGCAGCCGCTCCGTGGTGCAGAGCTCCACGGTGGTGCAGAGCAGCTCCTTCAGCTCGTCCAGCGTGATGGAGTCGGTGAGCAGCAGCAGCGTGTCGTCCAGCGAGAGCCTGCTCTCCGCCTCCTCCGCCGCCGCCAAGGCGCTGGAGGAGGTCAAGCGGCTAGAGCTCAACTTCTAGGCGCGGTCGCCCACGACGGCCGCGCCCGCGCCCCCGCCCGCAGCTCGCTCCGCCCGCTTCGCTCCGAGCGCGCCGCCGAGCATTCGGGCGGCAAGCACTCGAAAGCCTCCTCCGGATTACATTCATTGTTTCATCATCCATCTAAATTTATCATTTCCTTCACTTTACGGAATTTATGTAATGGATCTAGAGAATTCAATGTTATATCTGTCAAATGAATCACAGAAAGTTATTTTGCGAAGTTGCATATTCAGCAATCCTATAAAGCTACGGTAAAATTTTCCAAATTCATCAGGAGATTCAAGAAGAGGAAATCGATGTTTCCATTATGTAGATTAGAATATTATAAATACTAAATGTTTAAGAGAAAATTATTTTAATACAATAAGATATTTTTTGTAATTATTCATCGCCAAAAATTTTTGAAATAATAACTCTTGTAAGCTGTGCAAACATTTTCCAAATTCATCTTGCGATCAATTCCATCCATTTGTCCATTCATTCATTCATTCATTCATTCATCACTCATTGATTCATTCATATCGGGATAATTTCGAAAAAAAATCTACAAAAATTCATATAAAAAATGTAAAAGTCAAAACTACACCTGCGGCAAATTGAAACGGTAATTATCACAAAAAAGTAAATAATTCATTATGACTTACATAATTTTATAAATGTGCCAAAAAAGCGACGTAATCTTCAATTATAAATCTTTTAATTTCATTCTCAATGATAATTAGTATATTTTCTATTAATCTCGCTAATCATATTTATTTAAAATAATATATATTTAACTTCTTGCCTTTTAAATATTCATTTTGTTTGCCTTTTTTACATTTTCAAATTACATTCCAAAGTTGTATGTAAAATTTGGCAACTATTTCGTAATTCTTTAGTCTAATTTAATATTGCGCTGGCGCAATGGGCGATTAAAACTAAAACGAATTTCAGAATAGTTTCGAAATTATAAAAAAAAAGTCAGCAGTCACTAGACTGCCAAACGAATTTGTAAATTATATATTTTTGTAATAGGTTTTTTTTCGCCGCTGCATTGTCTACATACCGATGTGACGGAACACGTCGATTTTGGCTACAGTGATTACGTCGAACAACTTTCATTTTATTAAACCAAAAACAAAGTTCACACGAACATGAACATGATTAACAACAGTTTATACATATGTCACTAAAGCAGCTGACGGGGGTATTTGTAGTTGCCCAATGGTAATAATAGTATTATTCCGTTCTTATATTGTTTGCCTTCGAAGGAATTCAAATCACAGTCACTGCAAAAGGAGCGTCCGGGGGCGGTCGCTTAGTGAAGAGTACTAAACCTGAAATCCCGAATTACTTTTTATCTGCTTGAATTGCTGTATATTCCGCTACCTCCAATGATTTTTTTCCCTGAATACTTTGCTCAAGGTCCTCTCATGGATCCAATAATTCCGTATTCGTGCTCTCTTTATGAGCGAGACTTCTAGTTTAGAAGCTTGTAGTCGTAGACAAATATAGGATTGTTGTCCATACAAGATATCCGAAGCTCCAGAACTTTTTTGCTATGTGCCAAATACTCCACATTTTTGACTCAGGATTAGTTCAGGATGTTTCCAAGTAGCAACAGAGTAGCATCTTTTCTATTTTTGCCTCTATATACATAAGATTTTTGTACTTTCGTATCCAGAGCTTCTAGAAGTACTGAGAAAGCATTTTTACTGGGCAAGCAACATTTAGTATAATTGTTTTTTAAAATCATTTGTGATATGTCTGTAGGCATAAGCGAAGTATTGGTTATTTCTAATTTTTAAATGAAAGATCTCCGAGATTTTTTGCTCTCGAATTTTTTGTCATGTGATGTCCTAAAGACTTCAACAAAAGACACCTCTGTGATCGTCCTGTAACATTAACTTTAGTATATTCTCAAATACTAGAAGAACATTTCCATGTTAAAGAGTTGCAAACTATGTTTGTTGTTATTTTCTACGGAACTGGAGCTCCATTAGTTTTACGACTCTCAAATATTGTTTGTGCTTGTAAGGTGGGCCTATTTCTATTTCAATTTCTCTGCATTTATTTTAGATCTTTTCTTTAACAACCCATTTTATTATTTTGTAGAATTTACGTGACGTCTTCCAACTGTTTTCATTATCTTTGGCCTTTTCTTACACTGGACAAACTTAATATTTGAGATCGCGTTCACGTTTTGGAATGTTATATGCCCCTTTGGTTTGTGAAAAAATATCTAAATTTTAGATTAATTTATTTTAGACTTTAATTCGCATATGATTGTGAAATTGTTATATACATGCATGTTTTACAAATGTTTCCATTACGCAAAATAAAGTATTGTTCAAAAAATGCTGGTGTTTTTACAAAGTAAATGATTCTTAGTGTTTAGCTTCAACGTGTTTTGGGAGTAACTCCAATTGAAAAGAAATTAGTGAAATCAGTTGAATTTTAAATTTGTTAATGATGGCATTTAATATTCAAATGTAAATGGAAAAATTAAATGATAAATAAAAATATATCAATTTTACAGGTAATTAATAATGATTTAAAATATAATACTTAATAAACTTTAATCCAGCATTTGCTGCCATTAAGCCCAGTTCTATAACATAATTTGCAACTCTCATGTAGGGGTAAATTATGTAACATATTTATAAAGAAAGCTCCTAGGAACAAAATTATAGTCACCTTCACATTATTTTATGTTCAATTGAACACTTCCGAAACATTTTGAAGCTAACTAAATACCTAACTTTCTATTATCCTCCTATGATGATCCTAAAGTTCACTAGCTGAAGAATTTAATCTGAGTATAACAGGAAATACTTATCAATCAGAAAAAGATCTATTAACATTAAAATATCTTTAAGATTCAAAGCAAACCTATGATTAGAATTATTATTAATTCTTAAATAAGATCAACAAATAAGATTAAAGCTTATTTACATAATTTGGTAATCATGAAAAATAATACAAATTAATCATTTTAAATTTATGTTGTTCGATAATACATAAATTTAATTGAAATGCCTTCTCTTCTCAAAAACAAACAAAATAATTGACTAACTAATCTAAGTTTGTTTTCAAACTAATTCTCATAATTATTTACTCAATTTACTGATGAAATATTCCAAACAACACATTTTTTTAGTTCAAAACTTTACAAATCCAGCAAGTAAACAAATATTTGCAAATAAGATGTTGGGAATAGTTAATATAAGACATTTACTATTATTTTTTATTAATAAACAATTCAGGTACTACTGTACATTGTACGTACCAAAACATTGGAGAAGGCATCAATACTTGAGGATAAGTATGAGGATAAGTTGGAAAAGGAGATGTTTTATACAGCTGATTCTCTTAACCACGAGGACTATTAGTAAAACAATTAGTTACAATGAATTTCTCAGAATTAAATTAACTATGGGTACTTCTTACAGGTATATTAGTTAACTATGAATTAGTTAACTATGAAAATGATGAATTTCTGGGTCTAAGAAGTCCTAGGGTTTATGTATCTTATGATGAATAAACGTACAATACACACAGTAAATGAGGAAAAATTAAAGTTCACAGCGCTACGTCAAAGAGTTCCAGATATTATAACAGAATATTAAGGCAGAACTCTGGGAATCTGTAGTAATTTTAATAAAACGCAACTAATGCGCATTAATAGTTATTTCGATAAGTAATTGAATAGTTATGTAATATTAGTCTAGCACAACTGGGAAGGGAAGAGCATTTTCCGCCATAAAACCATTTTTAAGGCTGGTCACGAATACAGATTATTCATTCAACACGATTCATTTAAATATTAGATACATTTAAAGCGACAGGTATTGAAAAGTAAATATTTTACCAGAGCAGAGAAAGATACAATGTAAAAAGCGCAATAAAAATTCATAAAGAAGGTTCTGAATTCATATTCTTTATATTATTGAAGAAAAAATTATTTCGATGAAGTGATACAATGATATCTTCCAACCAAAATAATGGGGAGAATACTTTAGCTTACAAAATAATAAAATCAAGAAAAATAGCAATTAACATTTATAATAGCTGGTAAAAAATATTAATATAACATAAATATAAATAACGTCTGTTGGCCAACATGTTAGACATTGGCACGATTAAACATTTCCTATTGTTACATATATCAAATTCACATTTCAAAATAAATTTCGAATTTTAATATTTTTTGAAATGTAAATTAGTTATTAGACGATACAATAGAAAATATTTAATATTTTACATTCCCAACATGTTAGTAAACATATTATTTATATTTAAGTAACCTTAAAATGTTTTACCAGCTATGACAAGTGATATTCATTGCTAATCTCTTCCTTGATAAATTATTGTGAACATTGGATAACGCCATTAAGAAATAGAAACATGAGGGAAACGTCAACAAAGCAAACGTTTTGTTGTCACCCACAAAATCGAAATTACACGAAGAAACTTTTCAGGACTTATAATACCAATTAATGATATAAACAAATTAACTTAGAATATAATTTTAAATGCAAATCTAGAAGGTATCATCTTCTCTCAAAAAACGTAGAGCGCTTAATTCACAAAAGAGGCACTACTGTACAAAATTACCATTCTTGAGTTTCATTATGAGGATCTAAGCGGATTACTCTAGTCGCCAATGCTCGCAAATGCAGAGATGTGAGCATATAAATCTCTCTCACAAAACACTTCTGCTGAGAATCTAGAAATTTACATATAAAAGTAATTAAGAATTTCCGTCCCTCTAGTAACCTGTAATTAACAAGCATACACACGTTTCTAGTAAAGTCCAGCCCTATGTATTGTTTGGGATGAAAATAATAGACAAAAGACTAGATCATTAAGCTCTATTATACTTGGTGTACGCTGGATACTTGGAATTTGTCTGTTTAATGAACAGGGCTGATAGAATAGACCGTAGAGAATAGCTCTAATGAGATACACTAGGCAACGAGAGGAAGATCATTGGTTTCCAGTGTAGCATCCATTAGAACTTTAGCCTAGGTAAATTAATATAATTAAAAACACCAATCACTTCCATTGTTAACACTTGAATGAATCCTAATTCTAATAAATAGGTATTATCAGTATCAATGGTACTAATCAGTAAGGTATTCAATGTTAAAAAATTAACTATATTTACATTATTCTTTTGTAATACTTTTTATAACAATATGGCGAAATACTACCTATTCGAGTGCCTTCACAAAAATAACACGTTTAAAAATAAAAGTAGCTGACATTGGTATTTTAAAGTGAATTTGCGAAAGCCCCTAGCCTTCAAGAACGATTCCTGGCGATTACAGATCAATTAGTGAAGAAAGTGTAGTGCTGATTTGTTTATAATGCTTATTTGCAAGTGCACACCGTTCATCAATATGACCATTATTACGTACAGAACCATTTGCTCGAGATCCAGTTTTTACCTTTAAGAGATCATTAAAAGATCAGTACTGAAGTTAGAAATTAATAATTTAATTACTGGTAATATATGACAACAACTATTTGATTACATTTCAACATACCTCTCTGTTATGGCTCTTACACAACAGTTCTTTCATTAAATATTCTCGTAAATTATTTGTATTGAAACGCACATTAATGTAAGAATTGGGTGGTAGACATGAAATTCAGATTCTTTTCTAATCGTATTTCCTAAAAGCCCTGCCAGTCTTTCCCGTGTTGTTACAAAATCGTGTTGAGAATATTTGAATGTTCAAATTCGAGAACAAGTTGTTTAAACAACCAGAATTCAACACTTCTGAGAGAAGGGTTCCACTCTCTGAGGAATTGCACATTTTGTACATACTCCTTGATTAAAAGTATTTCACGTTTAATCCTGCATTGTTTACATTGTTTTCTAACGGAACACAAATTTCTCTATTCTAAATTTCAGCAACAATAATTAAAAAATTATTGATATATAACATTATATTTATTTCTAGAAACTGCTTGGGCAAACTTCAAGTTTTTCTTCAATATTTAGAATGGTTATTACGTCTATAAAATTCTAGAATACAAACCAGTTCCATTTCTGGAAATTATTACAAAATTATGACAAAATACTGATTATACTGGAGTTAAAGAACAAAAAAAAACTTTGACTAGCGCGTATTTTGCCTTATTGTTAGGGGTGAGTGAATCTGAAATATCGTTCGTATTAGCGCAGCCTACAAAGAGCATCTCTCATCAATGCTCACCTTCTGGGCTCAAACGGCAACTCTGTCGCAGCGTCACACGCTGATCAGCATTTGACAATTTCTGATACATGAACTCCCACACATGATGGTTTGTAATTCAGAAATATTCTTGAACACATTATCTACTTGGATGTATGGGAGGCACCGCGTTCTAGCGACCTTCCTCAATGCATGACAGCCTAAAAGAGGAAAGTCGCAGTCATGATGGCCGAAATGTTGGTATATGTGCCTAGGACGCATCCCCTTCCGTTCAGCCAAGTAAAGTATCCAAGTGGTTGATTCCGCCTACAGATGCACACGCATTCATTCTTAAACACACATTTCGCTAACTATATGCGGCGCATTTCCTCTACACAAGAAGTTTCTCGCAATATTTGACCAGCCGATGCGCATCTGAGTGACACAGGGTTTGGTAGATTTGGAATATCGTGTACAAAAGTGGCCTTCCCGCTGGGTACAATCGTCTTTCTACCTGTAGACAAGCACATTCTTGCAACATTTTACTGAAGATTGACATAACCAATTCAGACGCACAAAGTCTGGAATACCTATCACGTACATCAGCACCCTTTCTATTGGGCACATGAAAAGATTTTTCTCTAGACACACCCACTGACGAGGAGTTCTACAGTTCGAGTCCAGAAGGTGGCAGGACCTAGCTATAGCTAGGTCGAATTCAGGCACTATATGGAGGAGATTTCTAGTGTCTGGCTTTGCTCATCGGTAGTTTTTCGTGGTTTCTCCGATAAACAAGGTGAATTCCGGAACACTACCATAACAACGAACCACGCCGCAATTTTTTCTTCCTCTTCCTTGTATTTTCCTCTCCCCTTACATACACACTAGCACGCACTACACTACTACATATTACACGATACCAGTCGGAGCTTAAGAGCTTGCCGTGGCTGGAGCGGTGCCCAGCTGGCGGGAGATACCTAGTTGAGCAAAACCCCACAAGCAGACGAGTAGGTCGGCTGCGGACATTGCCACCCAGCGTGGCAAGAACACCGACACCTACCGTGATAAAATCATGATCTACACTTACGTACGAATTAGCACGCGCACAAAATCACTAATACAATCTAGACGATCAGATTCTCGCAGTAGTTCACTGAGTCTGTCATAAGCCTCGAAGAAACATCGTGTACAAACGCGGCCTTCCCCGCAGGGCACGAGCGGCGGCGCTCCCTCTGGACGCGAACGGCAACGCAGCGGCCCGAGGCGGCTGGCGCAGGCCAGGCCCAAGCCAAGCCCAAGGCCGGCAGGCGCAGGCCCGGCGCAGGCCCAGCGCAGGCCCAGCTGGAGGCCAGCTGGAGGCGCAGGCGCAGGCGGCGCGGCGCTGCGGCGGCGGCGGCGGCGGCGTCTGCGCTGGCGCACCGGGGCAGCGTGGACGACGCGGTGCCGCAGGCGGCCAACGCGCTGGCCGAGGCCGTGGCCAAGGCCGTGGCGGCCGGCGACGCCATCTCCTTCTGCGCCGAGGCGCGCTCAGAGGCCTTCGAGCGGCGCGAGGACGGGCAGGTGGTGGAGCAGGTACTGGCGCACGCACACGCATTGCCTCCGTTGTCCACTTCCCTATCTCCTCTTCCTTCTCCTCCTTCGGTGACCTCTCATTCTCCGTGTTTGGAATCATCTCATTCTCCTCCTCTTGCATCGTTTCAAGTCTCCTCCTTCTGCATCCTCTCTTCTCCTCCGCCTGCACCGTCTCAGTATCCTCTTCCTGCATCGTCTAAGTCTCCTTCTTCACCATCATCTCCTTCTTCGTCTTCTTCTTTGACATTTCCTCTTTCTCCTTTATCAACTCAGATAATGAGTTAATTAACGATCAGAGACAATTAATGCGTTACATGTGATTGATGTGGACGATGGTTTCAAGATGCAAGTCAAGATGGTAACATCCAAATTCCTTGCCTGATTCCCATCCCCAAACCTAACGCACAGACGGTATCCGACTTGGCTGTCTGCCTTGAATTCTCTTCGCTTACCGATCTCTGCATGTGGGTGCTGTGCCCGTACTAGACTAGCAACATTTCTTTATCGTTCTCCCGTATTCCTTCCCGCCATCAATGTCATCTCTCTTATCACCATCATAGTTTGCTGCATTCGCATGTGTCAATGGAAAACCCGTAGCGGTGATACACGACAGCAGCATCATTATCAATGAGAAATTAACCCATTTTTGTTCTCTCTGCACAATTCAACCCAAAGGATTGGCGAGGTGGAGATAAAAAATAAACCTTTCAGAAATAAAGGGTAAAATAGATTGTAAATTTGTCAGATGTAATTAAATAATCTTAAAATTTGTTAAATTGGATTTTTAGAAAATTGTTATTACTGTAAATATCCATAGTGTAAATAGAATGAAATAATAGAAAAGGCAGGTGAAAGAAATATGGTCTCTATTTTAATAATACTGGTAAAACAGGTATTAAATAAATTAATAATTTAATAAAATTAATAATTATATGTATTACTATTTATGCATGAATCTATTAGTACTATTCTTATTCGAATCTATTACTATTCATGCACTTTACTATCCCTGCGCGAATATGAAGTTCTGAGATACTGAAATGTATATCTTCAGTCGCTCCTGCGTATAGGCATTCCGCCTGACGTAGGTGTGTTTCCCACTGAATTCTGAGCATAGTTGGCAGGCGTTTGAGTTGTTTTTCATTTGAAGAGAAAATGTCGTTTTATTCATTCGTTTATATTCTACGGAATATTAGTGTTATTAAAAATACAATAATATATACTGAGATTCAGAGATATCTCTGAGATACCTTCGACTGAACAGCAGATATACACTTATTCTCGCCTGAGAAATGATATAATTCATCTAAATAGTTTATGTATTCTTCATTACAGTAATATAACTGTTTAAAATAATATCTGATAAATTATAAATAATCATTTGAATGTTCAAAATCATTTAACTACTTGATTTCTTTATTTAACGTAAAGTATAATACCTTTCATTCGAAATCAAGGTCTTAAACTTGACCGGTAAACGAGATTGTCGTGATAAACGACACAGCGAATAGAAGGAATGTTAATTTACAGACGAAATTGCTTTCTTAATCTCCGTTCTAAATCAGAACTGTCGCAGCCTTGACCACACCAGCCCTTGAGGTTCCATCTTCCGCCGCCCCGCGTAAGAGCCCGGCTCATACGCGCCCCTGTGCCCGCAGACCTCGTCGTCTTCGTACCAGGAGACGAGCAGCGGGGACGCCGCAGAGGCCCTCAGAGCGGCATCCGCCGCGAGCGAAGCGTCCGCTGCCACCCCCGCGCCCGCGCCCGCCCCCGCGAACGGCCCCGGCCCCGCCCCCTCAGCGCCCGACGCCGGCGGCGGCGGCGGCGGCGGGGGCGACGCCGCCAGCGAGATCCAGCAGGAGAGCATCAAGAACACGCTCAAGGAGATCATCTCGGAGATCGAGGAGGCCGTCGTGTCGGAGGTCATCTCGGACAGCGGCTCCGCACCCGCGCCGGCCTCCGCCCCTTCGGACGCCCCCGCGCAGGACTCTGAGCCGCAGGTGGGTGCACCGCTCGGGCACTGCGCCCTCCCTTCGCGCACGACATTGCTACACTTCTTTGCCGCATACGGGAAGGTTCTGCAATTTCAATCCTTCCACTTCTTACTAAATAAACACGGCGCATTATGCACGAGTATGATTGCAAACGGTCGGTTTTCAACGACTTTCATAGTAGACGATTAGTAAATTCGTCCAGAAAAATATTTTACCAATTTTATTTTTTATATATTTTATATATTCAACCACAACTTTCACATGCGAATCCCAATTCAAAGGATTCCCTTTTCTATAAAGAGTATAACCCTTAAATGATACCACGGTAATTTAACAATATTATGTTTAAGTTTCCAAAGATACAGTAAATAATAAAGAAATTGAACTTTTTAACAGTGTAAACAGCTCTAAGTTCAGAAAGCTATAAACGATTTTTTTCAAAATTTATTTATTCGATGAATCTGACTTTCTGAAAACAGAGAGTCTGTGTGTTAAGCTCTTTTAGGTTGAAGTCGGTTATATATTTTTTCTTTATACCAATGATTTGTCAATATTACCACGCATAACGATTTCATGGAAAACGTTTTATGTGATTTTACAGGGAATTTTATTTGTGCCCATTTTCCAAAAATATGTAAAGAAGATTTTCTCCGAATTCCCACTTATTTCCTTAAATTTTTTGTACGTATTGATAGTAATGCACTGAATGGTAAGGTCTTCATAACAATTTTTAAAATTTCAAAGATTTCTCAAAGTCGACATGCCTTTCTCGGGTGTAAAGCGAGACGTTACAAGGAGGAAGAAATATATTTATTTTTCACTTAAACCATTGGTATATTAAAAATAAAAATTTATTTTAAAAAAATAATTTCAAATAGTGTACCAAAGTATTTGAAATTAAGTAATAAATTCTACCATATTTGGTATTTTTATTCGACAATGACTTATAAAATATTCTTTGTTAAGTAACTACCGAATCAAAGCGCAAAATATATTTTTTTCAAAATTTGTAGTAGGTATATTGTTTTTTTTTATTTTGAGCTGATTTCTGCCCTTTTTAATACAATTTCACTCTTCAGCCTTTTTTAGCTTTAAAACATTGCAGCTATGAGCAGAACCGCTGAGCAGAACTCGCGTAGTTTAGTTTAATGTTCGCCATGACTAAATTAATACTCATTTACAGCCCCTGAAGTCTCCGTGAAAAGGTGAAATGTTAGCATCAAGCTAACTTTACTCGTTTAATAATTTATATTTTCTCATTCATCCATTTACAATGCAGAAGTATGTGCATTGTCCCAAGACCAATAGTGAAATAAGAAGTGAAGTAATACCATCACAATTACAAAACATTCACAAATGCATGGTAAATTTATTGTCACGTTATCTTTCACTTACTCGTTTCTGAGACAAAAACACAAGTCAGTCCTCAAGCAATTACAAATTTCTTTCACAGAATCCTATCGTGTAAATTATTAAGAAATTACAATTTCTTAATGAACCCTCAATATATTACATTTTCACAAACACATTTCTCAATTGTTTTTCAAAGAATTCCCCTTCTTTACCAGTAGTAATTGCACCTTGCACAATTTATTAGATTTTAAAATATTACAGAACGTCTGGATGTTGTTTCACATTGCATGATTTTTGTTGTTTGCACATCCCATCTTTTGCGAACTGAGACATGTCGCAAACTTGCATGTTCATGACATGTTGGGGCGACGTTTATAGGAGGAACAGCTTCCTGCCAATAGATCCTCTCGGATGCTAAGCAAGCAGACATCCACAACGTCCTTGGAGGAACAGAACAGTCTCATAATTAACGGAGCAATGCAGGTAATCTGTGTTGAATGTGTGTGGAAATACTAAACATTACAAAATATAGTGGTTTCTGACGTACATGCTTCAATTCCACATCACTGCTATACTTTCCTATCCCGAATTCACCCAAAATTAATTATTTTTTAGGAAAATTTTGAACTGTCGATGTAGATAATATTGATCTTCTTAGTACAATATTATCAGCAGTTAAAATAACGTGTTTGTAATCATTGGAGCATTTTAACAAGGAACATTTTTTAATTTTTTACACGTTCCACGTTAATTATAACATTACCTCAATGTTTGGAAAACTATTTGATTTTGAAAAAATAATAACAATATGGAAAAATACTCATTAAAATATTATAAATTCCCAATAATAGTAAACAAGCATAAACGTTTCCTTCGGCGCATTTTTAATAATGCTTCCCTTCTAATAACATGTGATATATGTAGACTAATTATTTAAAAAGGTATTGTCAGTGCACTGCACCCATGCATTTTGCATATTCAAATATATTAGAAGAAAAACAACAAGCCATCCATTTAAAATAAATGACAGGATTTTAACCTGATCTTTATTGTACATTCCAATACAATTTCAAGTAATAATTAAATAACATTCACGCCATTTAAACTGAAAACATTCCAACTGTAGTAAATATTCATTCTTTTAGTAATAATCAATTCTTGAATGTTTACTTGAATCAGAAGAAGAAATGAAATTTCAAAAATTACCTCTCCTGCTTTTGTCTTTAGGTCGCAAATCAATTAAAACAATACCTCAACCTTTCACATAGTAATAATACATTTGAGCAAATGTCCCTTAAAATCATATCCAACATTAATAAGAAAAATTTGTCCGTTGTGCCAAATACGTGTGGTCCTTCCGGAATGCACACCCCGATGTCCAGCATTGCAGGAGCGTTTTCCTGCTGCCTGAGCACGCAGTTGCCCTGTTGCAGCCCGAGTGCAATTCGTACGTGTTCGTGACCACCAGCCGCCCCTGCTCCATGATCCCGGTCAACCTCACGCACCTGATGCAGAGCGTAAAGGTAGACGCCGCACGCTCGCTACGCTTGGCACGCACGCTCCGCCACGCACGCCACTTCTAACTGCACGCCGCCCGCGGAGCCGATTGCGGTGAACCAAGTATTGGAGAGCCAAGCTCTGACGTCGACCTTTCTAATTAGAGGTGGGACCTACCGCCAAAGCAAGTACTCAAATGAAACAATATTAAAATTGTTTTCATCTGATTTGGCCATGTTAATGCAAAAAAATTTAAACCTGCTAAAAAGTAATGTTCCTAAAATATTTCCTCCAAAATAGGCCTCCAGCACTCTATTTTTATAAAGCAATATGGAGGAAACCACTTTGGGTTAATACCTAGAATGTCAGAACATCAGTGGAAAATCTCAAAAGTTGACTCATTGTACTAATTTTCGATTGATATGCTTTGCATTGCCAAATTGAATTGTTATCATCTTCTCCTTTTCAAACATATTTTAATCGTAGAATGTAACTAAAAATTTAATATGACAAGAATGCCTTCTTTACACTAAAGAATAACGCAAAACTCATCATCTCTCTGTCCTCCCTTCATTATATAATATTAAGAAGAGAGTGCCATGAGAATAGAATAGGAAAAAGGAATAATTTGATGTTTCTGTAGAAGATTTTCTTAAACAATTTTTAACAAATCGTAAAAAAAAAGTTTCTGTTATATAACTTTAATCTGAATGTAGTATTATATTATTGGGCTAAAAATGTTTATGTGCATACCAATATAGTGGACATCACCGCAAACAGCGTCCCTGGTGCGAGCCATTAATACTATTCCCTTCCGGCTGATCTATAGCTGCTTATCTCATTCACCTGTAGCCAATCTAACGACTGATGCCCGCTGATCGACAACAGCCAATCTTAATCCATTGCAGATTTAATCAACAGCCATATCGTCAATGTTTTGCTCTTCTTGATTTTTACTTCATATGGTTTACTCTTTTTATTGTTTTTCTTCTTTTTACGGGAATCTCGACGCAATCAAGATGTTTCTACACTCTTATCTCGCCAATTTTGATACTTTGACATTTTTACACTTCAACTTTTGTTTTTCAATACAAGTATAATAATTGTTTTTATTTCAATGAAAATAAGAATTTTACATAAGTGCTAATCTAATTAACTGCTGACTGATAAAACTTCAACATTGTTTTTGCTCTATTTTTAATGTTTTTTTCCTTTTCAGCAAATGCATTTTGAACAACCATTTTTCATTCTTCAGAATCTATGCAAATGAAATCTGCTTCATTGAATGTTTTTCGCCATCTATTATGCATTGTAAAATTTGTCACTAAACAATTAAATATTTAATTACAATATTATCAGAATCATTCTTTTTTTGGTGATAAGCTACATGATTTTTCGTGTTATTAATTCTGTAAATATATTAATAATACTCAATGTATATGTCTATCTTAAATAACAAACTGGATGTGTAATCTTACGGATGCATTTCTATCATGCATTGTAGTACGGAAACTCAATATTTTGTCTAATATGTATCATGTCATATCGCAAATAGTTGTCCATTTATGAATTAAATCTACGTTATTTATGAATAAAACTATTTATTGATTTATGAATAAAATTATTTATTGAATAAAATTAATTATTAATAGAAAAATAAATATATAAAAATATTCTAAAATTCATCTAGATATATCGGAATGGATAATAAATATTAAGCGAGATCTTTTTTATGTAAATGTAACATTCTTTTAAAATATCATGAAAATTACATACGCGTTAAATAAACGTGTTAGCTTTGAAGACAAATTAAAGATTTTCGCACAGCGCAAGCTGACATAAAATTAAACAAGTATGATAATTCGTCAAAATTATAATGAGTAAAATTTGCGAATGGATTCGCAAAATTTGGGAAATTGCGCAGACTTTCAAGAGTCAATTGATTTTACATGAAACTGCGTCGCTACTCAACCTAAATAACTTCTTTCGAATATTTATATATCATGTATGATTGCTAAATTCCCTTCTTACTTTTTTATTTTGGCAGAGGTTAACTATCTGCGCAATTTCCTCATTTTGTAGCAACTGTTGACGCTGTTTAATGCTCTGCAGATCGCCCAGGAGCTGAACCAGGTGTTGGGGGAGAGCGGTGCTGGGCAAGACTTCTCCGCGCAGGTAGGGCTGCCAACGTCTGCCCCTCAAGTTGCGTTTCTCCCCATTCACGTTCACCCTAGCATTGTACGTTTCCTTGCTAATCATGCCGTCGATTTTCTAATAGTTCTACAACTCTTCTATCGAATTTACGTTTTACATAATTTATGAACTACCCACACCTGTTTATGCAATATACCTACTTCTATTCGAAACCAATGAATTTTACGAACTGAATCCAATATTTCATTACTTTATCCCTCAACGCTATGGATGAATTATTGTATTTTGCTGCTCAGGTATTATCGCAACCAAACACTTTAGCAGCAGCATCCTAATAGCAGCAAAATGAATCGTAAAGTGAAAAGATAACGGCTACTAGAAAATGACATTGACTATCAAACACTAAATGAAACTATTCATTTCCAACTGTGGTACAAATTACAGTAACAGTTGTGTTTTAAAATTTTAATTTAATATAGTCTCTAGTTACATTATCTGAAACACTACAGAAGAAAGAGATTAAAATAATTTAATGTTTGATTCAGATTCAAAGAACTTGGTTTTTTCGAGTTTAAGACTGTAAAGGGTAAAGAAATTGTATATAACCTTCATCGGAGCTGATGACACCATTCATCTCCAATATAAATTTCTCACGATCTCTGCTGAAGCTCGACTGAAGATCGTTTTAAAATCGACAAAGTTACAGAGAATTGAGCGTCTAAACTGAATCGAGGAAGTGACAGACTATTTATTTCGACAGAATTCATGTTTTTGAAATGATTCTTAGTCTTTCACTCTCATTCATTAAATGTTACGGATAAATATATCCAACAGATCCTGCATTTATTTCTGTCATTGATGCTGACAACATTTTAGATATCTTAATATATTCCCGTAATATCTCATGATAACATTGTACAGTAAGCGATGTTACATTGACAGTTCATCAGCAACCATCTGCTTCACTTGCTCTACGTATTTTCTCTCCAAGCCCGGCTATTTTTCCATCTACTGGAGAAACAATACATCCATTTATACCAATAGCTGAGTTCATGAAGTAGTGCCCAATGACAGAAACAGGCTTAGAATACAATTTATAGAAGCACATCCGCATTTTCCACGAAGAATTTTCCCGCGGCAGAACCTTCACAAGAAACCAACGGCACGTCAGATTTTTTTTTTTGCCTATTGGACCGGATGTGTGTCTAGTACGATCTACGAAGTCGGAGCACCACGCCCGCTTTCATTCGGTTATCGAACGGAGGCAGCGACTAGTATTACTCGCGCACCTTTTCTTGAACTGAACGATGGATTGAAGACATGCGGGTAAAGTGGGGGTATTAGTTAAGAAATCGGCCTCTAGATTTTATGAAGCAATATCTCGGGAGAATCAGTCATGCCTTCGCAACTTTCTCAATAATTTACGTCCTAATTTTCTCAGGAATTTGAGGTATTTCCTGCGATGAATCTTCAACTGCTTTGGTCATTTATTTAATTTTTTTGGAGAAAATCACGGTCAGAATTTCTCGTCTTCAACGGAAAATAGTTTCTATTTCGCGCCAGTGAAGATGTGTTTGGAATGTTGTCATCAGTGCACGCTTCGAGCTTTTGTCTTCAACTGTTTATTGTGTCAGAGAGTGGGAAGCAAGGTCATCGTTCAAGAAAAGGTGCGCGAGTAATAGGAAGATTTTGCACGGCCAAGCGATACAGCAATCGGCAGCCCCATCGATCTTCGGCGCATGCGCAGTTCCACTTTCGCATCCCTTTTGTGCATCTGCGCACGCGCAGAAATCGAGATTGCAGTCCAGTGCTGTACGCCTCGCCGTGCATACCCTGCCTAGTATTCAGACGTCGCGTGATTACACGCGTGTTTATATATCTTTCCCAACGGCCGAGCCAAAATGCCCCAACAGAAGGCAGGCAGCGGTTGCTTCGCCCCCCTCCTTCACCTCTTTCACTGAGGGCCATTTGCACTCGCGGCCGCCGCGACGTGAAAAATCGTTCCGGAGACGGGTCGCTTGTCGCGCTAACCATCATTTATGAGCGTCGGAAACAAAAGCGGCGCGCCCCCCCGTCGCCATCGCCACGTCGCCCCTCGCTCGGAATAGACGTTGCACAATGTGTTTGTATACGGGGCGGCGGTGGTGGCGGCTGCGCGTTTTGGCGCGATCGCGACGTCGCAGGCGATACAAAACGCGTGCAGGATGACTCACTTCCTAGGCGAAGTGACTGGCTGCGAAGAGCTTGAGCAACGGTGTAGTATTATTATTGGGTTATATCAACGTTCAACATAAGTGCGTAGACTACTGGTGAGTCTTGCTACTGTAGGAAGAAAGCAAATGACCAGAGATATTCTTCAAGATATTAAGAGCTCACGTAATATAGTGGAATGGATTCCCGGAATCGTAATCCGAATTTATAAGTCTCTAAACAAAACAATGTATTGTTTCAATTGTAATAAGGAATACAGCGGATTTTACATTGTTGTATACGTACGTATACTATATGAACTAGTATATGTAGTATTCACAAAATTATGTAATGCTGATGAGAAAATGATTCGACAGAAAAAACTCGCACTGTGTGAATCTAAAACCAGAAAATAGATAAATCTTCTTCCCATATGTACTAAATTACTTCTTTTAACACGTTGTAATACACATGTACAATTAACGTTTACCCTCTTCAATTAATTAAATACAATTTATATGATAATTAAGGGAACTGTTTGGTTATACATAAAGCATTAGAATAAAAATGACAAACTTGTAGAGTATGTAGAGGAATCTTTCTTAGCCTACTCTTCAGGCACTACTGCTCGGCCTGTCACGTTTCGACTGAAAGGCATTTCGCCCACCTGTCGGTCATTGATGAATGAGCTGTCGAACAAATATGCGCAAATTTTGCATTTGTATCTTGTTAAATGCAATTTCCCCATCAAAGTGTATTGACAAAAAGTAATCACTTTCAATCCTTGAATATTTCCTAGAAGTTTGTTACTTTTATTCTGGGACACCTGTACACCAATCTACCTATTATTTCTCTACTTAGACTCTATGATGACTCTATTATGATGTATCCTAAATGAACTTTGTGCGGCCAAACCGAGAATGACCGACATGCATTTTATGCGAGTTACTCTGTACCCGAAGAAAACCCCATTGCAACGTTGTGTATGAGGCTCAGGCCGGTGGCTCAGGCCTGTGGCTCAGGCCGCCTGGCAGCGCCGAAGGGCCGCGCACCTGTTGTTCGGATGCCCCAGCGCTGCGTCACCGCTGCGGCGCCCCTCTCCCCCCCCTCGTCCGCCCTGGCTCGCTCCTCGGCATCGCGGCACGCCCGTTCGCTTTGGGGTTGCACACGCAGCTGAAGAAATCTCTGTACGGATGGATGGAAGGCAGGGACATATCCAGCCGATCATATGGGAGGGCTTTGTAGATTTTTGTTAAATAATAAACATATTTTTATTATATTGTATATTATTTACCCACTGTAGATGTGATATCATACAATATTATTGTTTAAACAATTACATAATTCGAACAGAAATGAATATTTAAATCAATTTTGCCAAATAAAGAAAGGTTCAAATAAAGGTTCAAAATAATTCAATAACCAATTGTAAACGCATGTGTTTACGACTTTTTGTAGAGGAAACAAACACATGGCATATTTTTTTAAACTATCTGATTGATCTGATATTTCTGATCTGATTATTACCGATAATTTGCTTGTGATGAAGGATGCCCATTTTAGTTACTAGAAATTCAACCGGCAGTGCCGAGAAAATCGAAATATCAGACTTTGAAAATCAAGTTGATTGATAATTATTTTCTCTATTGTTCCGTATTTTAGGTCATGCTCACAATGAACCATCGTTGTCTTAAAAATAACAACTACTCTAAGAGAATCCCGTGTCCCGCGTGTTGTGGCATCTGTGAGGGGCTTCCAAGATTATTTCAAAAGGAGCTAAAAATGGAAAGTGAGTTATGTTCTGGCGCGAAACTTAAATGAGCAGAAAGAGAATGGGCGCCTTCTTGTCGTTTTCGTTGCACTCGAGAAGACGGCGGGACTCCATTTGTTTTGTTGTGCAAAAGGTTTGACAAAAAGGTTGACGGGCAAGTAACTTTAAGTTTCTTGCTTTTCTTGCTTATCTTTCTTTTTTACGGCGAAGTATTTAAACACGCGCGAACTGAATGCAGTGTTGCACTGAATGATGATTTGACGTCAATCGCGAACAATACGCGTCATGCGAGGCTGCCATTACTTAAAATATTACCCTTCATGTAGTAAAAATTTAAAAATATTGGGCACTTCATTGCATTGGATTTTCTAAACTTTACTTAGCTTTCACGGCAATCAATTAAATTGTACGGTTCTTCATTGAGAGTATCCAGAATATATTCTATTTTTTGCCGCACATCCAAATTTGGACTGGCAGTTGATTATTGCACAAAACGATACATCCTATTGCAAATTGTGTGTTCTCTAAAGACTTGAAATATCTCGAGTGTGTTAGATATTTGACAAACAATAGAACTCAGTTCAAACTACGAGATACTGAGATTACAAACAGTATATTTTCACTTTCTATCAAGTGAATTCTGTTCATTATATTCACGTGTTCGCAAAGTGTTTCTTGAGCTCACATTCACTTCTTTGTTCATCCATTGAACATAGAGATTAGAAATATTTACAATACTTATATGTAAGAAACGTTTTTAAAAAACTTCGCAAATAAGAAATACGAAGTGTCTGTGAAAATAATATAGAAAAATGTCATAATTGCTTAATGAAACTATGAAGGAAAGATGAATAAATTAAAAGTCAGAACGTGAACAACCGAAGAACGAAAATAATCAATTTTATTTATTTTGTCAAATAACAGTAATAACTGTTTGTGCCGTACGGAGGAAAAATACGATCTGCGCACGTTTTCGTGCGCTCCAGAATCTTTTCCACTTTCTAACATAAATAGTTGAAAAGTTCAAACAAAGCAAAATTAGGAACATTTTAAAACTATAAAAGGTAAAGAAAGAAATCGAAGTAGAGAAAGTCAGAGAAAACAGAAATAGAGAAAGAAAATGAAATCCAAAAAATATAAAAAGGAAAAGAGGGGAAATTCATAAAATTTTACATAACCCTCTGTGAATTCGCGAAATTTTATTGTGCGGTACAAAAGTGTTATTTTTAGTATATTCCAGAATAATTTAAAAAAAATTTGAAGATGTTTTTGATTTATTGATTACTGATTCCGGACCCCCGAAATGGTAAATTCATTCGTCCCGTAAATGTAGTGTATTATGGAGAGGAGGCGGTTATCTTCACCACCGCTGGA